CTTTGCAGTGTGTTGTGTTTTTTGTCTCTCTCAATACCAAGTGAAGACACGCTCTTCCTATTGATACACTAACCCGTTAACTTGATTCAATGGTTGCATCTAGGTCCTCCGTCCATTCAGTAAGATCTCCAACCTTCACGTATGGAACTATTACGTAAACGAGAACCTGTCCACAGGCCCTCCATACGACGCCGAGCTTATAAACGAAGTTGAGACAACCGTAGAAGACCAACAGTCACCCCAACACAAACATGACTACATACGACGTTGCATGACAGGTTGCTACGGCGATGTCACGCAATTCCCACGTAACGAGTGCACGTGGTTACTGCAGGAAGTCAGTCGATTGGAAGAGGAGGCTGATCACGTGCCCAACGAATGGGTACACACGTGGAAAGCATTGGAGTATCCACCACCTAGACGAATAGTGAGTGACGACTGATTATTATTCATCACTGTCATTGTGTTTGCCCGTAGATTATTATTCATCACTGTCATTGTCTGTCACATTTCCTATTGCATGACATTTTATATTTCATTTTATACTTTGTTTCGTTAGACACAATCCAATAATCACGTTTGGTCGAAGCAACAAGCTTTGATGCAGCACAAGCGAGCTACAATGGAAGTCATCTTAAGGGTGAGTTACGGTTACGCAAAGAGCGCGTTTTGTTACGTTAAGCACGTTTATCACGTATTAATAACCAATGAAGTCTTCCTAAGGGGGAGTTACGCTTACGTTAAATAACGCAAATACTTACGCAAAGAGCGCGTTATGTTACACTAGTATTTATAACTAATGGACTCTCTTAAGGTTGAGTTACGCTTACGTTAAATAACGTAATACTTACCCAAAGAGCGCGCGTTTTGTTACACTAGTATTTATAACTAGTGAACTCATCTTAAGGTTGAGTTACGCTTACGTTAAATAACGTTAAACTTACGCAAAGAGCGCGTTTTGTTAAACTAGTCTTGTAATGATTTCAGGGTAAACTGCAAGTCGAAGATAAGGGAGCACAAGGCTTCTCTCAACCTCATAACTTCACAAAGCATACATTCTTGACGCCGACAAATTGTGACTACTGCCTGCAGATTATTATCGGCTTTGTCAGTAAAGGTCAGCAAGAAAACGTTTTCCTTTTTGTAAAAGAATCACAACCAACCACTGTACTTTGCGAGCCGAAGCGCCATTTTAGGCGAAAAATGGCGAATTCGTAGGATTTCTTAAAGTGAGCGCGAATCGTCTTCCATCCTTTTAGTTTGAATGGAAATATCTTTAGCTAAGTATCTCACAGGTACTATCAATCTATAATCTATTGTATGCTTGACGCATTTAAACGTGTGTAAACAATAACACGAGCGCGCGCTGTATTGTGGTTGGTTGGGATTCTTTAAGTATTTCTGTTATATTATTTTGATCCGAGTAAGATGTATTTAATGATTATTGATTGATTGATTAATTGATGACGATGATAATTATTATTATTATTATTATTATTATTGATTATTGGTTTATTATTGATTAGTTATCGATCGATTATTGATTAGGTTTCGATTATTTCCAGGTTTAAAGTGTACAGAGTGTGGTTATAATGTTCACGAGAAGTGCCAGTCCCAGGTCCCTTGGCAGTGCAAGAAGAGAGATTTGTCTGAACAGCCTGGAACGACTTTGGCAAAGAGTACCATCAGTTTACCTGAGGTTAGATATTGGATGGTTACAATGATATTATCATTATCATTAAAATCATTATTATCATCA